TGATACCACGGCACTCTAGCATGGGCAACAGAGCAAGACTCTTCTCAAAAACAAACAAACAAACTATAAATGGATTAATTAGAAATTATACCATAGATATAGATTTATTGACACAGGAAAATGCCCATAACATATTATGCAATATGCTAGTAGTGGTATACTAGTCAGTTTATAATAGGATCTCATTTATGTAAATTTATAATATCTGCATATGGTAAATGTATAGGAAGATATCTGGAAAGATGGTTATTGAAATAGTAAAGGGTCCTTTACTAAAAATTAGCCGGGCATGGTGGTGCATGCCTGTAGTTCCAGTTACTTGGGAGGCTGAGGCAGAAGGATTGCTTGAGCCCAGGAGTTTGAGGTTGCTGTAAGCTAAGCTGATGCTACGACACTATACTACACTTGGTCCTAGCCAAAAGGCCGAGAAGCAATGCCATGGCACTATAGCCTAGGCAACAGAGTGAGACTCTGTCTCAAAAAGAAAAAATTAGTAAAATATAAGGTGAAATTAAAATGCCAACTTTGATTAAATAAGTGGCAGAGTCAGCCCAAGAACAGTTTTAATATAGAGGGAGTGCAGAAGATGCTGCTATTAATTGCTTTGCAGTCATTTTGCATTTTCATGATACACTTTTGATCATAATCCCTCTTGATTATAAAGACCAAAATCCCCTTTCCCTTGAATTCAGTTAAACAGAAAGAGGATGTTGTTTGTGTCTTTGAGAAATATACATACCAACTTGAAACTCCCTTTTTTTTGTTCTTTAAAAAAACACATGCACAGGATAATCGTGCTGGATCAGAGTGACTTGTCAGACTGACTGGAATTGGATCGTAGATGGACTCCTGGCCTGGCTTTGAGTGTCCTGGTTGTGAGCTCCTTTCTTTGTCTGCTTCAGTTGCCATCAGGGCAGCAGTTCCAGGTCTTAACTCTCGCTATTCCGCCACCACAGCAGACATAATGGTTTGGCCTCATTTGTTGGCAGCACATTCAACCATTTTCCGTCAGGTTTCTGAAAACTCAAAGGTCTGTGATTGTAAACATTTTTTGTTGTGCCTAGAATGGCTTTTGGTTTTGTTTTAAGTCCTGTTATATAATAAAATGTTTACTTTTAATGTCCATTAAGTTTCAGCGGTGAAAGATATATTTCTGTGTGTGTATTGTTGGGAGCTGGGGAGAGAACTGCCGCCCAGAGGCCTCAATTTCTGTTCTAAAGTTTGACAAATAGGACAAATAGGAGTTGCTTCCACTCATTATACAAATTGGCACCAGTCATCCGTGTTTTATAACTGAAATACCGCCTGTCCACTTGGCTGAGATAGCTATATTCCCACTCTAGCTAGAATTGCCTTACAGTACTGGTAGCAATAAAATCCTAAGATACTTTGAACTCTTTAAGGTAAACAGACATTATCCTCATATATTTTGGATTGTACGCCTCACATCATTAACATGTTGGAGTAATGAACTTGTGGTAAGACTAAGATCACAACATGTTTTCTATTTTAGCTTCTTGTGACTACTGGCCAAATACATACATGTAACTAGCCTGGTTTTTAGAGGATTCATATACCTTCATCTAACTCCAGTTTGGAGTTTTCACATATGATTAAAAACCTTTTCTTGGAAACTATTTGCTGTTGTACACAGTACTAACCAGCTAACATACAGAGACTTACAGTATACAGTCTTCCTCTCAAAAAAAGTATTTTAATTGATGAGACAAAACCAATATACAGTCCAGGCGTAGTGGCTCACACCTGTAATCCTAGCACTCTGGGAAGCCGAGGCAGGAGGATCACTTGAGCTCAGAAGTATAAGACCAGCCTGAGCAAGAGCAAGATTCCATTTCTACAAAAAATATAAAAATTAGCCAGTCATCATGGTGTGTACCTGTAGTCCTAGCTACTTGGGAGGCTGGGGTAGGAGGATCACTTGAGCCCAAGAGTTCGAGGTTGCAATGAGCTATGATAACACCACTGCACTCTAGCCAGGGGGAAAGAGTCAGACTCTCAAAAAAAAAAAAAAAAAAAAAAAAATAAGGACTAATAGCAGGTATATCATGATAAATGAGTTATATCATGGCATTAACTATTAGTATTCATAAAGGATGCAGGTCCTACACAAACTCCTGCTGATAAGAACTGTAATCTTTATACAGGGTAAACGCTTCTATCTGGCCAGTGACTGTGTAATATTGGCCAATATTAACAACAATAATAATAATGCTGGTAGGTATTTATTGATTATAGAGCAACTATGATGTGCCAGTTACTTTATATACATTAATCCTTTTCCTGCACATAGCAGTCCCAGTATATTTCTTTAGTATGCTACTTCTCCCACTCTCGTCAGCTATTTCAAACTTCTAACCCTCACTTCTCAACACTCAACAGATGACTGTACCTCCAACTTTACAGAAGAAAATAGAAGCCATCAGATGGGAGCTAACTCAGCTTCCCACCACCAAAACTACTAACATGACCGCATCTATCTCTTTAGATAGATGTAGTTGTAGGTAAAGCAGTCTATCCTGAACTAGAGATGGAGCTACTGTATACCTGTTATTTCTACTTTCCTTCCTGTTATGCTGAAGGAAGTGTTCCTCCTCCTCTTCTAGGCCAATCTCATTTTTTATCCACTCAGGGTTATTCTTCCCAGGTTATCCTATTTTCAGTAGCTTCAACCCCTTTTTCTTTATGAGCTGTTTTTCATAAGCATTAACACCCTTGGATTTTCCTGTCTTTAAAACGTGTTCCCTGGATTCCACCTTCCTTTCCAGCTACTTGTCTCATCACTCTCCTCCCACTGCAGTTAGAGTTCTCGAAATAGTTGTCTGGACCTATCTTTAGTGCCTTATCTCCCACTCACTCTTCAACGTACTAGAATCTGAATTCTACTCCTTCCATTCTCTAACGGTCACTAAGGTCACCAGTGATTTTTATATTCCTGAATCCCATGGACACTTTGGCTTCATTGTAATTTGCTCTCATAGGCTATTCTCTTGGCATCCTTGATGGTTTTCCTTGGATTTTCCTTCTGTCTTTCTGGTTGTTTCACCTCAGCCTCTTGTAAGGATTCCACCTCTATCTTTTCTCACTCCAAGTTCTCCTAAGAGACCTTCCTCACTCCAATGGCTTCATTTAGCACAGGACTGACAACTTCCAGATTTGTATTATGAGTCTAGGACCAGACTACCCATATAGTCAATGTGTCCACTTGTATTTCCTTCAGGTGTCCTACTGACACTCCCAGTACTGAACTCATAGTCTTAACCTCCTCCACCTCCAGCATTCCCTTTCCAATCAGTAGTATCATTGTCCAGTCAGCCACTCAAACCAGAACCCAGGAGCCATCTTTGACTCTCCTCTCGTTCCTTTACTTCTTACACTAAAAAAATCAATCATTAGCCAGGTGCAGTGGTACATGCCTGTAGTCCCAACTACTGGGATGCCTCCAAAATATATGTCTCTTACACCCACCTTCTCTTCATGCCAGTTGCTACTACCCTCCCTCATTCAGACCACTAGTAACTCTTACCTGAACCATTACAACAGCCTCTTCAAGTGACCTTTTCCATATAATCCAACACTCAACACATCTTTTTGAATGACTCCTGTATGCCAGACTCCTCTCTAAGTGCTTGGGCAACAGTGAACAAAGCAGAGCCTTGGCTATCCTGAAGTTAAATAAGCAAATACCGTGTTTCCCCAAAAATAAGACAAGAGTCTTATATTTATTTTTCCTCAAGAAGACACCCTAGGGCTTATTTTCAGGGTATGTGTTATCTTTTTTAGGTATGGTACAACAATCTACATTTATTCAAATATAGTTAAGTTGTCTTCTTCTGGAACATCATGATAACTCTCCAAAGCCCAAATTCCATCCTGAATTTCTTGTGACTCTATTTCCTTAGAACCATTGGCCCCAATCTCTCATGTCGAGCAATAGAACTCTCATGGGGCAGATGAGAAGGGCTGCTCGTCTTCTTTACTGCTCTGCGACGAAATGCATGGGTTGTGCAGATACGCTGCATACCCACGCGCGTCACTAGGTCTTATTTTTGGGGTAGGGCTTATATTGTGCAAATGCTTAGAACTCTTGTAGGGCTTATTTTATGGGTAGGTCTTATTTTCAGGGAAACATGGTAGATCACATGGTAAATGCTATGAGGAAAAGAAACAGGTTAAAATGACAATGATGGGTGGGGGCATCTTATCGTTGGGTAGGGGGTATTCAAGGGAAAGCTGTCCTGAAGAGGTGGTCTTTAAGCTTTGATTAGAATGATAAGAAGAAGCCCAGTCTTGCATCTCTGGGGGATGAGCATCCCAGCAAGGGGAATAGCAAGTTGCAAAGGATCCATGGGAAACACCAAACTGGAACCGCAAAAAGCCAGTGTGGTAGAGCACTGGGGGGGAGACTGACTGGAGGTGAAGTGAAGCTGGAGACCGAGCAGGGATTATAGACCACAGTACAAGGTAGAAATCCAGTGGAAGGTTCTAAGTGCGGGAAGGGGGCAGAGAGAGGGATTAAACTAACTGACTTACATTTTTTAAAGATTTGTTTGGTACTCTTGCTTCTTTAATTTTTTCTCCACAGTAATTGTTTTTCTTTGGAGATGGAGTCTTGCTCTGTCACCTGGGTTAGAGTGCCATGGTCAGCCTAGCTGACAGCAGCCTCAAACTTGTGGGCTCAAGCAATTTTCCTGCCTCATCCTCCCGAATACCTAGGACTACAGGTAGGCACCACCATACCTGGCTACATTTTTTTTTTTGGGTAGAGATGGGGGGGGGTCTCACTTTCTTGCCCAGGCTGGTCTCGAACTACTGGCCTCAAATGATCCTCTTGCCTCGACCTCCAAAAGCACTGGGATTACAGGCATAAAAAAGCTGAGTCTTTGTACCAAAAAATAAATGTCTGATTAATCCAAAATTTAAATGTAAAAATAAACATATAAAGGTTAAGAAAATCTAGGTTACTGTTTTTTAATCTTGGGGTGGAGAAAGTTTTTCTAAATCATGACCTCAAAGTGAGAAGAGATTGGTGACTTTAGTATATAAAAATGTAAAACTTCTGGCTGGGCGTGGTGGCTCACGCCTGTAATCCTAGCATTCTGGGTGGATCGTTTGAGCTCAGGAGTTCAAGACCAGCCTGAGCAAAAGCAAAACTTCATCTCTACCAAAAATAGAAAGAAATTAGCTGTACAACTAAAAATATAGAAAAAATAGCCGGCATGGTGGTGCATGCCTGTAGTCCAGCTATTTGGAGGCTGAGGCAGGAAGATCGCTTGAGCCCAGGAGTTTGAGGTTGCTGTGAGCTAGGCTGATGCCATGGCACTCTAGCCCAGGTGACAGAGTGAGACTCTGTCTCAATTAAAAAAAAAAAAAGTTCTACTAATATGTAAGAAAAACACTTTAATAGAAAAATAGGCAAAGAACAAGTCACAAAAGAAGCAATACACTGGGAGGCCGAGGCGGGCGGATTGCTCGAGGTCAAGGGTTCGAAACCAGCCTGAGCAAGAGTGAGACCCCCGTCTCTACTATAAAATAGAAAGAAATTAATTGGCCAACTATATATATAGAAAATCAGCGGCATGGTGGTGCATGCCTGTAGTCCCAGCTACTTGGGAGGCTGAGGCAGCAGGATTGCTTGAGCCCAGGAGTTTGAGGTTGCTGTAAGCTAGGCTGACGCCATGGCACTCACTCTAGCCTAGGCAACAAAGTGAGACTCTGTCTCAAAAAAAGAAAAGAAGCAATACAGATGGCCAATTAGCATATTAAAAGATGTTCTGTTTCTCTAGTAATCAAAGGAATGCTAATGAAAACAGGATATTGTTTTTCATCTAACTGATCGCAAAGAGGAAAAATATAATTTCTAAGGTTGGTGAGTATGTGAGTAAACATACATCTTCATTCACTGTGTGGGGTAAATGGTACCACTTATCTGGAGGAGGGATATTATGTATTTTAAATGTGACTATTTTTTGACCCAGAAATTCCATTTAGACCAGTAATTCAGAAATTTCATTGTACACATGAATCACTTGGAGATCGTGTTAAAATACAGATTCTGACCGAATAGGTCTGAGGAGTGGCCCAAGCTCCTGT